GACTAGTCTCTGGTTTCCTGGATCCTCCTTCTTCCCTTCCTTAAGGATGGGTACTATACTTGCCCTTATCCAGTTGCCCCGGACCTCTCCTGATCACCATGAAATGTAAATGCCTCTGACAATTTGCCTACTCTTATATCACTGACTGTCTTTTCCAATGGTAGCTCATTTTGCCATTTTTAAATTATGTAATGATCTTTTCCTTTAAAACAGTAGAGTTTTTTCATAATTCTACTTACATCTTCAATTTGTCCTATAAGATGTCTTACTCAAGAGGTTGTTTGTTTTTTGATTTTCTTCATTTTTCTGGCCCTTCAGGGTATGGGCACTTTTGCTCAATACCTTTGTACAAAATGTTGCATAGAAAGTAGTTATGGTATGATGAATAGTAGTTGACTTTTCAATACTTTTTATTCTTTTTGTAATTTAATGTTATTTCTACACATGGTCTTCAGATGCAAATCCATATATATCCTATTTAACTGAATCCAAGGTGACTTTTAATTTAAGACACCTCCACCCCCATAATTAGTTTCTATACATGGAAAATGATAAATTTATTATAATTTCAAATGCATAGAATCTTTTTTTTTTTTTGTTGGGGGAGGTCATCTTAAATTCATTCTACCCACCACTGTGGTAGGGAAAACAGCATTGGGAACAATATTTGGAAGTGAGGGGGCAGGCCTCTTGCCCTCTTCCTCTCCCCGCCTGCTGCTTGCCTCCACACCTCTTGCACCCTGATGCTTGCACCTGCCCCATTGTTGCCTTTTTGGGCGGGGGGGGGTTGGCAGTCAGGCTATGTGAAAGAAATCTAATTTTCAAGGTTGTGTTTTCCATTTCAGTTCCAAATCTTTGTAGTGCTAAGTATTGTTTAATTTAATCAGGGCCAAATGTGTAATATTAAACAATAGATATTTTGCATGAAAAGAATTATAAACCTTTCCTAGTTGTTCAACTAGAAAAACCCCCAAAGTTAAATACTATGATTATGGTGTAATTTTCTTCCTTCTATCCCAGTTAAAACATGCATACTCTGGAAGGCAATCCATGGTACCCAAAATCTTGGAGTATTTACTTTGCATGTGAAATATGAAACTTGTTTCAGATGTTTAATTTAGTGACATTTATGTGCAAATAGAGGAGGGTAAATATGTCCTGGTGGTTATCAAGGTGAGCTACCATATGAGAATCCTCAGAACTCTGTGTCGCAAAGCAGAGTCAGTACCTGTGAATAAGAAGTTTAAACATTTTCTGTTTTTCTGTTTGGTGCATTACTCGCTCAAGTTTTGAAGACACTTAAAACTTAATTGTTCACTTTGAGGGAGAGAAAAATGTGTGCAAGTGGGCTTGACATTCAGAAGGTGTATAGCAGTTGGGACAGTTCTTTATTACTTAATGTTCACATTTCAGCTATGGGCTTTGTACATTGCTACCTTTTTGACTCATTTCTCCCACAGTTTTAAAATTTGCATTGACATATAGGTGAATCAGATATTTGTCATGCACATACACTTCCAAAGAATAGGTAAGGAGTTTTTATAGCGAAGTTTAAAGAGCTGTTCACTTGGATAAAAATTCAGTAGGGTTCCCCCCCTCGTCCTTCCTCCTTAAATAATGTTATAATAGAAATTAAGTTCAGCTGGTGTGGTGGGAACATTGTGTTGATTGTGTTCCTGGAAGTCAGCCTACTTTGTCACGTGGTAAAATGTAGTGCCAGCATACCTTTCAGGACAACAAATAGTCAGTGTGGTACAGATAAATTTGGACTTTAAAGTTATTTTAATTAGGTGCAAGAAAAAACCTTTCCTACTATAAAGGAAACATCACAGATTATTAGTGAGTTTACAGTTTTTTAATTGTGGGTATTTGTTTAATTAATGGTTACTGCCGTGGCAGTTTTGAAAATAGTGTTGTGAACCTAAAATGTGGACAGCCTGAATAACTCTGTCACACTATCACTGAAGTAGTGGAATAACAAACTGTGGATATGTGGTGGTGTTGTGTATGTATGTTTAATACTGTGCAGTACATTCTGACAACTGGGTACCACATTGTGGGTAGGAGGAATCTAAATTCCAAATATTATGTAATAAGAAATTCTGGTACAGCTGGCATATGATTTCAAGGTTAATGGCTAATCAACACCTTACTAACTAGTAATAGTCTGAATCTTGTTGGGGGTAAGGAGACATTTAATGATGACCGTAATGGTGTAATTTGCTGGTCTAAAAATGTTTTGGCATCTACTATTTAAAATATGTGGTTCAGATTGGTCCTGTTATACCTTAAAGGCTCTCAGAAGACACTTTTTAACTTCAATATCCCCTTTGGGAATTTGTAAACGTTAATTCTGGTGGCCCTAATTGGGGGAAGAGCAAGATAAAAAAAAATGCATTTAGTACTTACATAAAACAGAAACTAGTCTGTCCCAGGGGGACAGTTGCTGGGGAATGAGAGATCCCTCCTGTGGCAGGATCCAGAATGGGGGCTCACCGTTCCTGCAGAAAAAGCCCTGAAACCAGGGAAATCCTACCTATTTCGGGCTGGGGAGAGGCAAATGAGCCATGCTGGCATGAAACACTTGTGCAGTTTATGAGCTGCGTCTGTTTCTGGCTGATGATGGCACAGGCGTGTGACGTCATCCCCGGACGCCGCCCAGCTGGCATAAAAGCTGGCATCGAGGAGATACTGGGGGAAGCGGATGGGGAGAGTGCTTCCCACGCTGGGCAGGAGCAGTGCCAGTGTGCAACAAGGGACCAGGAACCAGACCCATGGGGAGGGGTCCACAATGGTGGAGAGGAGCCTGGATGACGTCGGGGAACAGCTGGAGCCTCCAGCATCAAATCTGTGAGTGGGGATGGGCCACAGCCCTACCCCTCATCCTTCTGTTAAAGTTCTTCTTTTTTTCTTTTTCCGTATTGCTGGGATGACCTGCAGAGGCCCCAAGGTGAGGGCCTGGGAACGGGTGGTGCTTCAAGGGTTGGAGTGGCCGGGAAGCCGTGGCAAGTGACCGGGCATAAGTGAAGGCACAGCAGAAGAGCAGGGCAACCCAAAATGCCCTGAAGACATGGCGGCTGGGATGGATCAACTGTAGCCCCGTCGATGAAGAAAATGGAGAGTGACAACACCAGAGGGCGAGCTGCACTAACACTGAATGGCAGTCTTGGAGGCTGGCCTATGGATGGAGTGTAGGGGAGGTGCAGCCCCATGGATACCCTCCAAGAGGTGCAACCAACCTGAAGGAGTCCACAGGAAGGGAGCCCACCACTGAAAGAATAATCAAACTTGTGGCAGGCGAGTTTCTGGGTTTTCCCCGGGGTCACAACGGACTCCCTCAGAGATTGCTGGAACTCACACAGCGGCCAGCACCAGGCACAGGTGCCAAGGCGGTGCAGGAGCTCCTCCTCAAGGCCAGGCGGGCATATAGTCTATGGGAAATGTTAGTTACTTGATACTTAGCTGGATATGTTCTAATATAAATGTAGCCTAATTTATTGAAAGGACTAAGTATATTGCTTATGACCTGTGATTATTGTGTTTAATGACATCAGGAAAAGTAATAGATTTTTTTTAATTTAAAGGAATTTTCTGTAATTTAGTTTTAACCTACAACTGGATTAAAAATCCTATTGATTTTTTTTTTTTAGGCAAATTATAAAGTCTAAGCATAGAAAATAATAATTACTGATGATACTTTATATAATGAAGATATCTCATAGCCAAATAGGAAAAGGAATAGGCATTCACTGGATTCTGTACCAAAATCCATGTGTCTGGGGGGAAAAATATTTACATGCATCACAATGTACACTTAGTGCATTAATTTATTTAACAGTTTTTAGCTTCATTCCTCCCCTCTCTCCCCTGCTTCCGGTTACAGTAGTATCTCATTAAAGACTTCAGTGCTGCAATCACTGAAGCATGTATGTAACTATGTAACTTTAGGCACATTAATATTCTCAATTCAGGTCATTTGCATTGTATGGAAAATAGTCCCTGGCATATTTTTTTGCAGTACAGAAGTTCTAGCAGTCTAAACCTTCCATAAAATTCTTTAGTATTGAACATTTTTGAAAAGTGGATTTAGCTGAAAAAAATATTACAGATAAATTACATTCAGTCTTACATCCATGTTCTACATGAGTTTTCCCCATCATTTGCAGTAGGATTAATGTGTATGCAGAAAGATTTGCAGGATTGATGCCTTATTGAAGTGCTGTTATAACTAAGGAACAAGAAAATCTGTAGGGTTGTCTTCATTCCATTTTTAGTTATTGCTTTGGCTGTGAGATGGGCATTGTGCAAACAAGGCCTTTACGCAGAAAACTTAAATGGTAGACATGAATACAATTAATAGGTGTTAGGAACACAAGGTGTATGTGTAATGATTACAAATGTTGTAATAATCAGTAGTCCCAGTACATTAACAGCCTAGTAATTTTCAAGTGTTTTTTTAGGACTTGCTGGAGGGGTAAGCTTTAAGGAGACACTTGAAGGAAAGCAATGTAGTAATTAGTGCGCAGAAATTTTTATGAGAATTACTTCCTTGTATAATGGGTACTCTGGGGAAAAGTTTCTGCTGGAAAACTTAACCTATGAATAATAAAGCTCATAATCATTGATGGAGCAGAGGCAGGAATAAATGGTTAAAGGGTTTGTGAGGTAAGAAGAGAAGGACAAAGCTCTTAAAGGCCTTAAAAGTGAAGATAAGCAGTTTATTTTGATAGGTGTAAATAGGTATACAAAAAGGGGTAGTAGTGGATTACCTGACTGGGGCTTTGAGCCAGGAAGATAACTGTTCAAACAGAATTTTGAGTAGATTTAAGAAGGGCAAGATGGTGTTTAAGGTCAGAAGAAAGGAGCAAGTAATTGGTTAGGGCCTGTGTGAATGCATCTCTCTTCCATCCACAAAAGTATCATAGAGGTATCGTGTACGAAGAAATGTCAAAACTTTTAAAGAGTGTCTAGAACCGTAGAGGGATGGAATAAAAAATTGTATTTCTGAGTGGTAAGAAGGATTTTGGTTATGTCAGAATCTGAGTTTAAAGGACATTATCAATTAAATTGATATTTCTGTCAGAAATGTTTTGACCTCTTCCCCTCACCCCCAAATAACGGGTAAGATTATTATTAGTGAGACAAATGCAAGAAGGCACATGTTTTCAGTTTGCTGTTTATTTGAAATGGCATAATATATAATCAGGTTCCTCTCTCTTGAGAAAATTACTCTAGTGATATTCTCTCCATATATATTGCTATCCTACTTCAGAAGGGATGGACCTCTGTTTCAGGCCCCCAAATCTGTTTTGGATCTTTTTGTACCAGTTTACCAGTTATCATTGGAATGATTATTTCTGGACAACTTGGCTTTCATCTCTAATCTGAACAGTTGCCAAAGCTTGACTCTTCTTTCAGTCAAGGCTTGCTTGTTCAGGGAAGTCTCTGCTTTGAGTTTCTTTGGGTGGGGAGTCTTCAGTCATTTGTGTCAGGTATGTGTAAACTGAGTCCTTGTAGATGAATTGAACCAGGTTAACCATTATATTGTTTGTCCTAGGATTTTATAATGTTGACTGCTGTAGTGTTCATTGTGGGCAACAGTGAATTATTATACTTGGGCGTGGACTATTTGGTTTCATTGTCTAAGCTAATATTTGTCTAATTAAATACTTGTTCTGAAATTGCATATACATACCATGCCCAGGGGCCATTGGTTAGGATATTAATGGTTTTAATTGACATTCTTCTATTTTTTGTACATAGTAGATTAGGTGCCTGGCAAAGAATATTGAAGTTTACTGTGAAGTTGGATGTTCACTTTGGTCTGAGTTCAGAGCAAAGATGTTATGCATCAATAAGTTCAGCGTATCTTATAAATGTAGGTGACAAATAAAGTGGTGTAGCAAGAGAAGTAATGGAAGGGGGAGTAGGGTGCAAGGTTATTAAGGCAAGCTACCATGCGAGGTTCTTAAGAACTCTGTATTGACTTCTGAGTGTTTCCACAATGAGTTCCTGACAGAGCGTTTGTTCTCATGCTCTATTACTGCCAGAAGCATATTCATTTAATTAAAATAATCTTCAGGCAAGAATAGTTTAGCTAGATGAAAGATTCCTCAGGTGCTCTAAGAAAAAAAATCAGGACAACAATTTTACAAAAGTAGTCTTCAAACCTTACATAAGAGAAGCTATTTCTCTAAAAAAACAAAACAAAACCCAAAACCTTTATTTTCTTATACCTCATCTTTATCAAAAATTGGTGAAAATAAAACCTTCTCTCGTGTATGTTGTTGTTCTTAAGTACAACTTGGAGGTGATCTCAAAATTACGGGTAGTAGAGTTTAGCTAATCTAACTTGTACTACTTTACCTTGTAATATTTCGGAGGTATATAACCTATTTCATTTGCTATGATTTTGTGATTAAAGGAAAAACCATAAATTAGGCATTTAGCATATGAACTAACTTACATTTTTCCAATTTTTCCATTTTTAAAATCCTTATCTCCATTCATTTTCCTTTAGTAGTCCATAAATATATATATTTAAGGAATAAAAGAGAAAATCTAATGCCAACAAAGACCAAAAACTTCATATGATAATCTATGTGAGAGTAGCAGCTCAGAAAAGTAATTAGCTAAACTGTTGCAGAGGTTTTGTGGTCACTAAAATTTTTAATGAATAAATTACTTCTGAAAAGAATGTAATGGTGCAGAGGTAGTTATCAAGAGGACGTATATTACTAACAATGGCAAAGAAACTCCCACATGGCAAGGAATATACAGGTTTTTGTGAAATAATGGAGAATTGTTTTGAAAATGTGGACCAAAAATTGAACTCCAGTTACAAAGTAGCTCAGAAGTCACTCTTTGCCACAGATGTTATTCATGTATTTATTCACGTATATTTCCAAATAATAGTAGGAGTTTAGGAAATGGCTGAACTTTAAAAAAAAAACAACAACCCTTATTTTGTAAATATCTTGGACAACATCAGAAACTTCCTAGATTTTCCACATCACGTCACAGTGTACACCATTTCCCAACTTCATATATTACATTATAGATTCAGAAACAAACAAGAAAGGGGTCTGAGAAACTTGACCCTAGCCAATGTCTTATTATTTACTGTCAATAAATGAAGAGTTTCTGCAAACTATAGAGCCTAAGTACCAGCTAGCATTATTTTATTAGTATCAAAAACTACTTACCGTGTACTAAAAATCCTGAAGAAGACACATACTCCAGATCCTCAGTATAACCTAAGAAAACTACTTTTGGATAACTCAAAATAAATGTGAAATAAATTATTTTCCCTAAATAGAAAGGCCAGAGCCTCTCTTTTTCTACATTCTGCATCAGATAATAAATGTCTTAACTAGCTAGATCAATGCACGTCACCATCCATAAGGCTTAATTCAAAAGAATAAAAGACATCCAACCCCAAAGTCTTGATGTGCATGTGCAATGTTAATTATACTTGAACTATTAATAATTCATCTATTAATTGATTTGTTTTACATAATTTAAGATAGTTAAACAAAATGGGACATTATTTCCTTGGTGTGCTGGGGAACTTGTAGGACCTTCTCTAGAAAAATCTATTGTGCATTACCTTTATGATTTAAAAACTTACATGCGAGCAAAACACACACACACACGCGCGTGCACACGTCACCCCAGTATGGAATTTTAAACCTGGCTATCTGATGTGGTGTTGAGTGGAAAGTATTACAAGATATTTTGTAGGAAAGGACCTCAGGCCTAAGTAGGATTTTAAGATGTACCTGCTTACAGGTTCGTCACATAGTAGTTACACCTCTGTAGTTAAATTTGGTTGAACTTTTGTACTTTCA